CAACTAAAGTCACAACCACTTTGGCGCCAAGAAAAATCTTTTCTTTTTTTAAAAAAATATAATAACCCTAAGCAATTTAATTGCATATGCAATGAAGATCTATATTTTATTGCTGCCACCTCACCACAGCAGTTACAGTTAACTGGAACTGGGATAATGGAGTGATTGTTTTCATGAACAGGTTCTTTTACTAGTAGTCAGTCAAATTTCATTTTTATTTTTTGATATTAAATGTTTCACATTTATGACCACACTATGCTTCTATACATCTAAGGTAGAGAGAATGATAATAAAGAAAACAGAGATAGAAAATACATTATTTTAAAAGGTGAATGTGTGGAGAAGATACCTCATTGGGTTAGCATGATGAATGCATGAACTTCATATACAGGTAGTCCTTACTTATGAACTGAGTTCAATAATTGTTTGAAATTGTAACAGTGTAAAAAAAACAGTGTACTGCAACAGGCATATATGCAATCAGTCCTTGCCTTTATAGCCATCACAGTATCCTATAGTCATATCAGAATCGGAAAAACAAATCTGGTCATGTTGCCAACTACAAAAGCTGATACAAAAATTTATGCTACCAGATAAAGACTGAATGCACCAATTATCACATTAAACAAGAGGAAAACCTTCTACGCACCAATTCCACCCGTGCTTTCTACAATTTTGTAAACAACAAACTAAAAGACTCAAGGTCCATCCCACCCCTGAAAGGACCTAATGGTAAAGACTGCAACGACGACACTATTAAAGCCAACCTCTTAAAAACGTTTTTTGGCTCAGTATTTGTAAACAGCAATGGATCATGCCCAGTATTTCCTAGTTGAACCACAGACAACTACAATGATCTAATACATATTGATTTTACAGAAGACAATGTTGAAAAAGCACTATGCAATCTAAAACCATCTCTATCTATTGGACCGGATGGAATATGTGCCTACTTCTTAAAAAAGCTGTCCACTGCCATAGCCGAACCTCTAAGCATAATCTTCGAAAAATCTTTCAGGACCAGCTCCTTGCCAAAACTATGATCACAAGCCACAGTCATCCCCATCTTCAAAAAGGGAGACCCCAGCCTAGTTGAAAATTACAGACCAATCTCTTTATACTGCATCACCTGTAAAGTTGTGGAATCAATTATTAACCAATCCATTATCCTCCACTTAGAGACAAACAACCTACTCTCTAATAAACAATTTGGTTTTAGGAAAATACTATCATGTAATCTGCAACTCTTACACTGCAAAAACATATGGACTACACAACTCCATCAGGGCAAAGCAATAGACGCAATCTACATAGACTTCTGTAAATCCTTTGATTCAGTGGTACATGACAAACTACTCCTAAAACTAAAATCTTATGGTATCTCTGGATACCTGCATAACTGGATTGAAGCATTCCTGTCAAACAGGCAACAAATGGTCAAAATTGGGAGCGTCCTATCAAATCCCATACCTGTTAACAGTGGTGTCCCTCAAGGCAGTGTTCTAGGATCAACTCTCTTCATACTCTACATAAATGACCTCTGTGATCATATTAAGAGCAACTGTGTTCTCTTCGCTGACAATGTAAAGCTATTCAATACCACAGACAATACTGCTACCCTTCAAAAAGACCTTAACTATATATCAGAATGGTCAAACAAATGGCAACTTCAAATCTCAACAAATAAATGCTCTGTCTTACATATTGGCAAAAAAAATCAGAAAATAATATATAGGCTGAATAGTCAAGACCTTGTTGATGATCCAAACTCTGTCAAGGATCTTGGAGTACTCATCTCTAATGAACTAAGTGCTAGATCCCACTGTAACTACATAGCCAAAAAGGCATTAAGAGTTGTTAACCTAATCTTACATAGTTTTTTCTTTGGTAATATTACACTACTAACTAGAGCATACAAAACATTTGCTAGACCAATACTCAAATACAGCTCATCAGTCTGGAACCCACATTATGTATCTGATATTAACACAGTTGAGAAAGTCCAGAAATATTTCACAAGAAGAGAATAGTGAAAATATTTCACTATTCAGCCTATATATTATTTTCTCCACTCCTCTACTCGTTGCAGAATACCTTATGCCACCAGACTTGAAATTCTAGACCTAGAAAACCTAGAACTACGCCGCCTTCGGTCCGATCTAAGTATAGCATATAAAAGCATACATTGCAATGTCCTACCCGTCAGTGAATACTTCAGCTTCAACCATAACAATACAAGATCAAACAATAGATACAAACTCAAGGTTAATCGCACCAAACTTGATTGCAAGAAATACGACTTCAGCAACAGAGTGGTCAATGTCTGGAATACTCTACGTGACTCTGTGGTTTCTTCCCCAAACCCCAAAAACTTTAACCTTAGACTTTCTACTATTGACTTCACCCCTTTCCTAAGAGGTCTGTAGGGGGCATGCATAAGCGCACCAACGTGCCTACCATCCCTGTCCTATTGTTTCTTTTATTTTTCTTATATGTATCCATGTATTCATAACTATGTTTTTACTTATACCTATTATCTTGTAAGCAATTGACAAACCAAATTTTTTTTAAAAAGATCAACAATTAAGATTGTCGCATTTGACAGATACATGATCACCATTTACATATTCCCAACCAGCCTGCAACAAGCAGAGTTAATGGAAAACATGAAAGTAAAATAAGAAGTCACAGCCATGTGACGTTTTGCTTAATGACTGTGGTGACTCCTTTAACAATTGAATGGGAAGTAATGTCATAAGTCCATAATGATCACATGATTTTTCACTTAGCAACTGTTGCATTATGGCCACTAAGCAAGGACTCCTTATATACTAATTAAGGAGAGAAGCAACTTAGAACTAAGGAGAAATTTCCTGACAGTTAGAACATTGCCTCCAGAAGTTATAAATGCTCCAACACTGGAAGTTTTTAAGAAGAGATTGGATAACCATTTGTCTGAAGTGGTGTAGGGTTTCCTGCCTAGACAGGGGGTTGGACTAGAAGACCTCCAAGGTCCCTTCCAATTCTGTTGTGTTCTATTCTGTTCTATTCTACTATAACCTATGCAGTATAAGTGCAGGATTACTAGATATCCAAATATTTCATATATGCATCTTATCTTTCTATAGGATAACATATACAGAATAAACTAATCTTTGCCACCACTTCCTACATCAAATTATGAGGTAGATTATAATAAGAGGCAGTTAATTAACCCAATGCTACCCCATAAGATTTACAGCTGAGGGCTTCAGCTACAATGACTTTATCCCAGGCATAATATTGCAAACTTCTTTACTTTAAAGGTATTAACTTTCAAAATAATAGATCAGGGGTAACTAAACCGGTGCCTACTAAGTACTGTTGATTTCAGTTCCCATGACTTCCTACCAACATAGTCATAGTTAAAATTGTTTTTATTTAATTTTGACACTGCCTATCTCAGGTAAGTAGTTAAAATATTTGTGAATTGCAATAAAAATCTGAAGAACACTTGGTTGCTAGCACATTCCTAAATTACAGAGTAATCTTGGCAGTTAAAGGGTACATCCTACTTTTGTATTATAATCCAGGAAGATAAATTTCATAATATATAAGACATTTTAATTTTCTTATGTATTCAGCATGTAGAGTGTATCTATGAATCTAGGGTTACTATTTGGTTGTTACACTTAAAACATCTTAGATCATTCTCTAGATCATAAGTACTATGGGAAATTTGAGAAGCTATAATGTTAACAGTGTATATTACTGATCATAAAAATATGAAATGGTCAATTCTCTCTTTAAAAAGAAAATAAAACCTCAGCACTCTCTCTTATTTACTAGAGGAACACAAGATTTTCAAGCCAGCACAAAGTCGAAAGTCCTTGCTTAACAACTTATTTGGTCCTCACTTAATAATAGCAACCAGGACTGCTGTTGCTAGGTGCTCTATGTTACGAACTACTTGTTCAACAACTGTTAGAAACTGTGATAGCACTGAATGACTCCTACTTATGACTGGTCCTCTACGTTCCAACCATTGTAGCATCCTGCAGTCACATGATTGCCATTTGTGACCTTCCCTGCCAGCTTCTCACAAGTCAATGGGGAAGTTGGCAGGAAATGTCACAAGTTGCTATGGTGAATATCCCTCCCGCCTTCCTGTGTACTATGCTGCACTTTCCTTACCTTGTACTCACACTGACCCACAGTCTCCTTCCCTTGGCCTCCTTGTGCTCATATCAATCCACACCCTCCTTCCCATGACTTTCCTGTGCTCCCCTCTCCCAATTCATATGTCGCCTGCACTGGGCATCTCCCTTCACCTGTGGCATCTTTGTGCTCCTTACCTGGGACTCTCACCACTTCCCACTTGATTGCACACTTTCGGATTACAACAGCAACCTAAACTGCTTGGATTGCTATCACTAAGCAAGGTGATCATGTGACATCATTTACCAATGTCACTTACCAACGGCAATAGCTGTTATAATATCTCTATGTTCTGTCATGTTTCATTTTAAGTAATGCTCCATTCCCTATTTAAGCTCATCTGTTTAACAAATGCACAGAAGAGAGATCTTGATCTATTGGCATCCCCTTGAAACAGATAAGCAAGAGTTTACAAGTCTCAATATGTAGATAATCTCAAAAATATAACTCAGAGAATTTACAAAATCACTGGCTCCACCCTGGAAAATATCATTTTGCATTTGCCTCCCTACCTTTTTTGCACATGGCTAGGATTGGTGGATCTAACAAAGAATAGAGGGAATCTCACAAGTCTGAAATACACACAAAACTGAAGTGGGTCATTGAAACATAACAATGAAGATAACTCTTCACGTTGCATGTTCATGATACCGACATGATTATTACTAAGTCATGAGAACCTCCACAAAATGCATGGCAGCAAAAACACTCAGGATAAGCCATTATGCCTGCCTTTATTTGTGTGGCTAGGTTAGATTAGGTTAGGTTAGGTTAGGTTAGGTTAGGTTAGGTTAGAGCAATTAGTAAGAAAGGGAGTAGAACCAACTCAAGCAGTGACAACAGGGCAACTTCATGACAAAGTTGGGGCTTTCCAAACTGCAGGCCATTGTGTGTGTGTGTGCTTGTGTTCCCATATTTTTTAAATAAGATGGTGAACTTACATAATGCTCCTCACTCCTTCCATTTTCCCAACAACAACCTTGTAAGATGGGTTGGGGGAGGGAGGGAGACAATGAATGAATGAATGAATGAATGAATGGCCTAAATCACCCATCCAGCTTTCCTGACCGAAAGGGATGCCTACAATTCAGTCTGCCGCTTTGTAGGCCAGCAGCACCTTCACCTCTACACCAGGCTGACCAAGACATCTAGGTACTGAGGGCTAGCAGGGTGAGGAAGCAGAAAAGGCTCTTCCGCTAATAATACTGACAGGCCTCCATCCGGAAGGTGGTGGTTGCGGGGTGTCCAAAAGGCAAAAGTGAACGGGACAGCAAGCCTGGCCGGGCTGAAGAAGGCGACCTTTTCCTGCCCAGAAGGGAATTCCAGTTTCCCTGGACAACTCCAGCCTCACCGCCGCCCACTGTAGTCTAGGCAACTCTCCAAAGGTCGGGCGCCTCTCCTTCGGAAACGCAGCCCGGGCCAAACTCCGCGGCTCGCAAGGAGGAGGGACGTTTACCTCTGCTTCCCTTCCGCTCCCATTCCCGCCGCTGCTTTCCCCCTCACCTGCTATCTGAGTCACGAAGGCTTCCGCCACCAGGGACATGCTTCCGACGACAGGGGAGTCCCTTCCACGGCCGTCCCCAGGCCGCGTCGTAAGCGGCCGAAGGTTAAGGACACCAAAGGAGGAGAGCACGGCGGCTGCGCCGACCAGCCTGCCGGGAAAAGTGCATCCGGGGCCTGCTCCGCCCCTCGGAGGAGAAAGCGCCTGCTTGCAAGAGCGAAGGGAGAGTCGTGCGGCAATTGCCGCCTGCTCTCGCAAGGGCCGCTGCGGGTCTGGGCCAGAAAAAGGTTGCGGTCCCGGTTCTCTCATTACCCGCACCCGGGTGTGTTAGATTCGTGGTTGGGAGAAGTAGGTTCTGATGGGCTCGCCGTCGCAAAAATGCGCGGATTTGGTTTTGCCATTCCCCCCCCCCTGGGCATTTTTGACAAAGGGCTAAAGATGGGGGGAGTGACTACCGCCCCACTGAAATATCCCGAAATAAAAATTCCCGCAAACCTGATTGCCCCCAAGATCCATTCGGGCACCAGCATTTATGGTAGTGATGTGCACATAGAGTCTGAGGGGGGGCCCACAATGTTTAGGGGCCACGTATGAACGCAGTCCCTGACAAATTATGGCTCAGTACATATGTTTATTTTATTTATTTTTGTCAATTGCTTACAAGATAATAGGTATAAATAAAAACATAGTTATGAATACATGGGTACATATAAGAAAAATTAAAAAAAGAAAAGAAAAAATATGAAATAAAAGCTTTATGGGTTTTTTTTTCCAAGGAAATAAAAACAATTTGTGGTTAGCCAGAGAATTACATAGCAGTACTTAGTTCAATTTGGTTTGTGAGAACAGTTCTTCTTCTAGGGTTTCAATAGGACATTTTATTTCTTTTATTAAATTTCTACACTGCCTATCTCACCTGACACCCAGTGGTTTACAAATAAAAAAGCATATAACAATGTAAAAAAAAACAGTTAAAAATAGAATTAAAACCGATATGAAATCAGAGGCTAGAAATAGGTTAAGAATGTAAAGGGGCTGGGGAGAGAGTGCCCTCAAGCCCCCAACTACCCACATGGTTGCATATCATGCCAGTTGGCAGAGGCAGGTCTAAGACCGGCCTTAGAAAATGGAAGGAGCAGTGACACAGCCCTGTAAAAGAATTTGGGCCAAGAAGCAGAAGATTGATACCATCCCCACTCCCTGGGAGGTAAAGCAGAAAGTGGGGCAACCACGATTACCACTGAAGGAAGCTGTGACCTTTTGCTGTTTCCTGCTTGATTTTCCCCTTATAATTTAGAATTTACTGCTTGATTTTCCCCTTATACTTTATGTTCTAATTTAACTTGACCATTATTTTCAATGGAGAAAAAATGGAATTTACAATATTTGGATCTTTGGTAACAAGGTTTTGTTGTTCATTGGTGTTTTCTTGCAAACCACCATAGATGTACTGCTCAAGGAAGTTGTAAGTGGTACCCATGACACTGAGCAGTGACTGCCTCCCTTGGGATCTCATCAGGCTGCCCTCATCTGACTTCATATTTTTAAAGATGGTTCTAATTCAAAACTGATTAGAAATGCTGCATGCTGCAAAGCAAAGTAATTGGCTCCACTGTCATTGATTTACAAGAATGTCTTTTGGCCCTTCATATGTTTTTCGGGCATTCCTGCAAAAGATAAACAGTTATAGTCAAAGTGTTTTTTTTGGAGGGGGGGAATGTGTCTACCGACTCAGGAAAAAACCCAAACCACAAAACTCAAATGACAGGAACATATTTGGAACTGCTGGTACAATGGAACTGCCTTAAATACCACCTGGTAAAGGAATGTTTTGTGAATGGTCACACCTGTTCTTGCAGCCATTTTGTGAATAATAAAGCTACTTCATGGTAGCCATTTGTGGAAGTCTCTATGTTATACTCTCAAAATTACAAATGTGCTCACCAGCCCAAAATATTGACCAACATTGATATATTTGAATTTCAAAGTTCAGAATATTTATGAAAATATGTACTTTGGAATTATATGTTTGTTTTTTACCTTATTATTAGGCAGCTGCAATACTGGAGATCTATGATTTTGGTTTCAGTGCATATTACGCACATTTCACCCAGATACAAGTTCTCTCATAGATATGACTTTAAACAGCACTAACAGCAAAGCTGACAGTATATATTTGAACAATTTCAATGTCTCCAGGCTTTTTGTTTTCTTACTTCATATTTCATTTTAGTAGCAGAAGCAGAATTAAACTGTCAGCAATATTTGAGAAGCAAACACTGTTCATGTTACTAACAGTTTTACATCCGTCATGACTTACATAGTAAATGTCATCACCTTCAAACATATGCCTTGCCTCCATTTGCTGGATAGTTATGTGGCTAATCCTCAAACCAACAATCCATCATAATGAACAAAATTATGATAAATATCCCCATCAGTTATAATACTGCAATATTGGTCAATGCTTTTCATTACTGCATTGTCTAGATCTAATTTCAGTGTGGCTCTTTCTTACTGTATTTCCACAGTGAGCTACTCATTATCTCTGGCCTAATCTTGCAATTCTCAATGAAGCAGGGAGGGAAGAGCAGTCTAATGAAAGGTTATTGGGTTTTAACATCAGATTGTGTAGACTCCATGAAGAATGGTGTTTGACCTTGAAAATAATAGCTGTTTATTATATATAAAATAAAAGATTTTCTCCTTTTGTTACTGTTTTTTGAGCTGTGTTTTTTTTAAAAAAACAAGAATTTGAATAAAGTAAGCTATATACTTTATTACACTTGTCTTCAGCCTTTTATCTGTTAGCTCTGTTGTTCATTAAGATGTCCAGCATATGCAAACACATTTGACAAAATATTCATACAACAAGCTTTGCAAACAAAAAAAAACCTGAAAGTTCACTCATCATCCAGAAACAAATATAATATTGGATTTTGTGGTTGAAGCCAACTGCTAAAGTTCGTCCCAGCAAATATTTTTGGCCTTGTGCAGCTAAATTCAATCTCATAATTGTGACATAGCTGGAAACTTGTGGTTGCAAAATATAATGGTTCCAAAATGAACTTTTGCCCAGAATGAGAATAATTTTTAAATTTCCCCATCACAAAATGTCATTTTTTGAAGTCGTTTTAGAAAGGGGGAAATAAATTACTCAGGAGTGACTGTTGACCACCCTTGTGTTAGAAAACATATATTGAACATGCTAATTATACAGTTATGGTACAAGCATGATATTCTGAGCCTAATGCATAATCTCCAGTGAAAGCTTAATTTGACAAGAAAATTAGTCTGTGTACTCTTAAAAAAAATTTCTTAATGTTTCTAGGTATTAGATATTACCATACCTGTGCTCAAACCTGGATTATGTGCTGTATCATGTACTGATTCAACACTTCCTGCACAACTAGGGATGCTGATCACATGCCAGTATATCCTCAGTCACCATCGGTATCCATAATCTTTCTGATATTAGAAAATTAATTGTGTGCACTGACTGATGATGTTTCCAAACTAGTGTATTCTCTTAGCTTAAGTACTGTATTACAAAGAAAGACTATGGGTTATACTGTAGATACTAGTGGATAAATGGACTTTAGTTTGGTTTCCAAGTGACCATTAAAAATACCTTGTACACAGGAAGGCGGGAGGGATATTCACATAGCAAATGTCATCCACCAGTATTTTGGCAGGATTTTTTATAAGCTATGGGTGATAAGACATCCTTTACAGCAGCCCTGTAGTTCAACTGTTCCTATTCCCCCTTCAGAGCCCCTGCTGGCTCTGTTGTTCACAATCTTTTCTGTAGAAAGCACTAACTTCATCCAGTGCAATTTCTGCCTATTTGCTATTTATATAGTCTGTAGCCTGAAGGCCAATCTTTAGTTCCCAACTAATTCTCAAGATTTCAGGCCCATGAATTAAATGTTTGCCCTTTGAGATCAGCCACAAAAAGAAAGGACATTTCTTCCATTGATAATGTCTTACGACTGACTCTGCAATAATGGACAAAGGCATAAGAAAATAATTCGCATTTTCCACGTGACAGAAACCTTGTATCAGGATTGTCAGCGTCTTTTCTGCTCAATGCTCTTGTCATTTAAATCTTTGATAAGAATCAGCTGGGAATGGAGCTCTATAGCTGCAACAGCTTCTTGCAAATTGTAGATGGAGTTGATATTGCAGATACCTAATTAATGTGACGTATCACCTTATTTCAGTCTCAGGCATTTTTGGCAACACTGAATTGTTTTATATCAGGGATTATGTAGATATGGCAAACAGAATTACGGTATTATACCCTAATGTATTTTCAATTCTATAAAGTTCATGGATACACAACTAGTAAACATTATCATGAAAAAGAAGCTAGATAGATATGTCTGATAAATTAGTGCAGGTTACTGTATAACAATTAAGTCTGATTCTCCGTATTGCCCAAAATGATGAGATTAAAGAAGTGGACGAAGCTAATGACTCAATGAGTCATATAATTGTTGAGATTGGGTCCAGTATAGAAAACGGAAGCATCTTCACTGGTTTGCTTTAAGTTTGATATAAGGGAATAAAACATCCAGAAAACTTGCAATCTATTCTAAATCTGCTTTGAGGGAGAAAGTTTTCACTAGGATTTTGACATATTACTAGTTAGTTTCATGGACTATCTAACACTACACACATACTTGAAAGTAATTTGGCAAATCATCTTTGGGGTCTGAATATTTAACTATGACAAAGCCTGTGAATTGTAACAACACAATATTTGGATAGATATTTAAAATGGTTTGGTTTAATCGGGTTTTTAAGCCAGTGATCCTATTTAGTGTGTGTAAGTAAACATATCTGTGCATATACATGTTCCCTGATTTTTATGTTGTCATAAACCCCCCAAAACTTAAAATGTTTGGCAAAGTCCTCTTCAAACTGATGACATCCAAATCTGTAAAATCTCAAGAACTGAAATTCCGCACACACCCAGAAGGCACCAGACTGGTTTACTTCATTAAAAAGTAGGTTTTTCCAGGATTCCCATAGAAAAACAAAACAAACGTTCAGTTCTGTAAAGCAAATGTACATTAAAATGGTTCAAAAGGAAGGAAACAAATATTTTATTGTCATATTTTACTGTGGAAAAGAATTAAATGAATATACATAGCAAGAAAAAAGATAAACAACTTATCACATAAATCAAAATCTGGTTCTGGGGGTTTTAATCAATGGAGTTTTTGCACAAACAATTCATTCCATATGCTGAAATTCTCTAGAAACCACAAGAAGCAGATTAGAAAAGAGATATGCATTTGTGTGTATCTCATTTGAAGTTATTTGAACTAGTCTTTTATACCTATCAACCTAACAGCAAGCGTAGTAGGTAGTACTGAACAACAGAAAAATAAATTTAAATATTATTAACTAATTACTGAACGAATCCTTTTGAAGGGGTATAAAGTTGTTTTTAAAAGGAGAGAGTTGGGGTATAATATCTCAATCTTTATATCTGTTGACAGAGCCTTTCAATCATAAGCAAAGTTAAATAAAAATGGCTTCCAAACTCCATTATGAAAAGCATTTAATATATCCATCTGTATGTCATAAAACATAGATAATGAACTATGAATTTATCAGATGATAGTTGAATTACAGGTCCCCAATCATTAGTAATAAGACAAGTCGTCTATATATGACTGTTGAAGCTAGACAGAAGCTCAACAGCCATAGATTTTCCTCCTCATCCTTATTGAATACTACCCAATATTCTTGCTGTTTAAATACAATATGTTTAAATATATTTCCTTTTGCAAACAATTTTGTGAACATACAACTCCAGCTTCCCCAAATTGCATGTTTACATGTGCACCTAGTTGATACACATCTTTAAAATGTTATTTTGAAATATTATTTTTACCTATCTTGCATTGAGTTTACAATTAATAATAGTAATAGATAAAAAGATTGACTGAATAAATGTGTATAAATGATTATTGGATTTTCAGAATTATCTTTTCAATACAACTGGTACTCTCTAGAAATATTGAACTACATTTGCCATTACCCTCAGCTACCACAACCAATGAAATGTTAGTTGAGTTTGGTGGGAATTATAGCCTGACATACAAGGAATATGTAGGGGAGGAGCCATCATATAACTTTTGTGTGGTTAATATAGCCCATCATAAATTTTTTTAAAGGTCATAGAATGTACACAGGTGACATTGGAGAATATTGATTTTTTTGATTCATCCCAGTTCAGATTTCTGTCTGGCTTTGAAAGAGAACCAGTCAAGGTCAGCCTGGTAGATGTTTTATGCTGGGAACTGAATGGGGATGGACAACCTTGTTGGTTCATTTGAATTATTAACGAGTTTTAATAACTTCCAACATAGCATCCTTCTAAATCATCTTGCTCAATGCAGCTCCATGGACAATGTTTTGCGGTAGCTCTTATTCTTTCTGACCAAAAACTTCAACAGAAGGAGTAGCCAAGATAGGCATCCACCTGTAACCATAATAATGCCAAAACGATCAATGGACTTCACGACATTATAACACAATTTCCACCCTTTCATACTTTTGGATTTCTCTCATAATATCACACACAATTGTATAAGTGGTGGAGACACTCTCCCTCTACCATATTCCACTCATGGCTTGAGGAATTTGTTTTACACAACAGTTTTTGTCTTATGAGATACTTTGGGTCGTTTATGCTTATCTTATACTATTTAACATCTATATGAAACCACTGCTTGCTTTTTTCCAAAGGTTTGGTCTGTCTTCCTCTTCCTCTTCTCCTTGAGTCATATCAGACCTTGCCTCTTCCACAGGTTCATTTTTTTTCATATACTGTATATGCCATTTGCTTGCTAGTAATCCTTAGCTTCCTTGTTTTTTAAGAAACCAATAAATATGCTATATTTTAATTATCCGTGTTTATAACAAATGTATGGCTATGTGCATATCTCATTATATGAACGAGTGCTTTCTTTGCACGGAGGAAGAGAGAAGAAGGTAATTGAATTTTCCTTCTCAGATCTTCATGGCTGCATCTTCCCAGTGCCAAATTTAAGCATAAACTAAAGAAGCTACGGTTTTAGGGCCTTAACCGCAGAGCCTCAGAAAGATTTTTTCCCCAACTTTTAGCTTTTTTTTTTTCTTCTGTCAACTCATAAAGAAAATATTTTAAGTTGTATCTGATACCAGTTTTCTGACTTTGCCAACAAGTTTGATTATTACAAGTGATCTTACTTTGTCAGCGTTTTCTATATATATTACTGAATCTTAAAATTATTTTAAAAATTGCATTAAGTATTGTTTCCAGGATATGCTATATTTTATTATAATATAATGCTATATTATAATCTATAAGAGACATGAAGCCAGCCAAATGATAAATATGTAATCAGAAAATGCATTTGAAAGTAATTTGTATTTTTTCACTTTCAATATCTTCCTATTCAATCATCAAAAGGCATATATATGTCTTCAGGTTTTTTTATGGTGACCCAAGGCCCTGTTTTGGTATACACCTTAGTGAGACCATTTGGTGTAACTTTTTAACAAGGGGCCTCCAAGATTTATATAATTTAGGGCCTCACCAAGTATAAATCCTCCCTCTCCCAGCAGATAAGCTGTTTAAAAAAACAGTGAACATGGAAATATAGCAGCCCTATCTAACCATAATACAGTGGTGTTAGATTACAGTGTGACAGAGGTTGCAAACATAGACACATGCTAATTCCATAGTGCAGAGAGGAAGGAGGAGGAAGAGAGAAAAGTAAGAGAGCAGTTGATTGAGGAAGTTGTTATCAGTTTCTAATGATGAGAAGATGCAATGTGTCCTTTCCACAAACATAATAAGAAATGGGAGACATAATCTTTGGCACAAGGACAGGAGTCTCCAGAGCAGGGGTCTCCAACCTTGGCAACTTTATGCCTGAAGGACTTCAACTCCCAGAATTCTGGGAGTTGAAATCCGCTAGACTTAAAGTTGCCAAGGTTGGAGACCCCTGCTCCAGAGTGGTTATTGCCTCGCATTACAAGTAGTTATGCTAGCACATTAGATATATTTACATCTATTTGTAAACAACTCCAATAATCTTTAGTCAAGATATTTTCTGGGAATTCTGGTAGACATAACAAGAAAATGAGTTATGTAGCACAGGTTAAAAATGGGATGAATTCTCATTTTCAAATAAAAAGCCTTGAAAGAGATTGGAAGATTCATGTCTTATAATGATTAAGAGGTTTGTTTAAGATTTCTTTTTTTCGGATCAGAAAATGATCTATAAAATTCTAAATTTCTAAAATAAAGTAAAGCTGACATCAGGTTCATGTTTTAGCTCAGCTTTCCCCCTCAGCTTTCCCCTGCTTGATACTATGTAGGCACCATAACTATGAGAATGGAATAGAAAAGAAATAACAGAGTTGGAAGGAACCTTGGAGGTCTTCTAGTCCAACCCCCTCCTTAGGCAGGAAACCCTATACCACTTCAGACAAATGGTTATCCAACGTCTGTTTAAAAACTTCCAGTGTTGGAGCATTTACAACTTCTGGAGGCAAGTTGTTCCACAGATTAATTGTTCTAACTGTCAGGAAATTTCTCCTTAGCTCAAGGTTGCTTCTCTCCTTGATTCGTTTCCATCCATTGCTTCACAGCATACTTGATGGATACCAGATTGGAGAAGGTAGATTGAGATAAAGATAGCATCTAACATTTATAAGAATGGAAGGGAAGATTAGAGCCAAATTGTCATCGTAGCAAATTCTATGAGGAAGATTCATTCATAGGACAATCATTTCTGAAAAAGGTATAACAGAGCACTCTCCTCTCGGGTCAGTTGGCTTCCTTCTTTGGAAGCAGACACCAATTTTCACCAGATGAGGAGATGGACTCAAGTAATAGACTGCATTAAAAGAAAACATGTCAATCATCTTGCAATTATTTCTCCCTACAAAGATCCTTTTGCCATTTTATTACTTAAGCATCTTTAAGGCAATGATATTTCTGTAATCAATGTTACATTATAGACTACTCAGGCATAATGCTAAGTAGAGGTTTGTGATTTGTGTGCTAGACTACCCTGGAGAAATTAAAGCATGTATCAAAAGAGACTAGGGCTTCTAGCCACCCCACCTCCACCCCTTGTTATATCATTATCTCTGCTACTTCCTATCCTCCATCTTATGTATCAGGATGAGTCTTACTTTTTGATTGTTATCTCTAGCTCTGGTCTACCAGTAAAAACTCTGGCAGAAACTTATTCTTGTAAATGAGAGGATTTCAGGATACAGACCTTATGTCCAAAATAGTAACAAAGTTTCTAATCCAACACTGCATCCTCAGTAGTTTTGGGAGAAGACTATGGCCTGCTTCATCTTGTTGTATAAAACATTATTAACTCCTGGGTCTCAAAGGTGCTTTTTCAAGAGGACTTTCTTCGAAGACTTTTTGCTTCTCATCCAAGAAGCTTCTTCAGAATGAAGAATGAAGAAGCTTCCTGGGTGAAAAATGAAAGATCTTCAAAGAAAAACAAGAGAAAGTCCAGTTGCCTCTTGAAAAAGCCCCTTGGACCTGGTTGACTGAGAATCTCCATAGATATTAACTTCTGTGATATAATGGGGAAAATAAGCAGTTTTCCATATATCAGCAGTCAAATGTTAAATTATCTTTCTATCACGCAGAGAGAATGAGGGAGAGAGACTTTAATACATGTATAGACCTTGCATTATACCTTCCTCCCTCTAAGAGAATTATCTTGTGTGTTGCCACCAACTTGGAACAAAAGGGGGCTTATTGTATGCTGGGAAGAAATGTAAAAGATGTCAAAAATACCTTTTCCTTTTCAACAGACCTATCACTGGGCAAAGTGGAGCAATTATCTCAAGCAGCAAGGTTTGAGTGTCAAGAAAGTATTGTATTTGTTTATTTTGAATTTTTACTCCTAGGGAAAGAAAAGACATTTTTGAGATTGGCTGGCAAGGGGTCCAGGTCCTCTGTCTGGATGCAGATTAATTGTAGAGGGCTTCATTTTAGTGCAGTCCAGACAATAATAAGAAGTAAACTTGCCTTCTTCTTTTTATCAGGCTTGGTTGGGTTGGGTTGGGTTGGATTGGGTTAGGTTGGATTTGTTTGGTTTGGTTTGGTTTGGTTTGGTTTGGTTTGGTTTGGTTTGGTTTGGTTTGGTTTGGCTGTGCTTGGCTTGGCTGTGCTTGGCATGGCTTGGCTTGGTTCGAGTTGGTTTGAGCTGGGTTGGTGGGTTGGGTTGGGTTCGGTTTCCAGCTTCCAACTTCCCAACCCTAATGTCTTTCCTGCAAATATTTACCCTTGACTGTTAAGGACTTGATTTTATCCATTTTTCATCTGAAATCGCAAATTCCAAATTTCAACTCATCTCATGAAGACTCAATTTGCAGAACCACATACTGAAGCATACATGCACTCTGAGGGTTGAAATGGACAGTGGGGTTCAACTTCCTGTCTAGTGCAGAAATGCTACAGCATCCCTGACAGATGGCCATCCAGCCTCTGTTTAAGTATATCTCATAAAGGAGAATCTGCCACTTCTGAACCTGTTGAAAGTTCTTATCATTAGGACATTTTTCCTGATACCAAACTGAAATCTACTTCCATCTTTTTCAAAGCTCATTGTCTTTTGTCTGATCTTCTGGAAAAACTCTTGAGTTCCCCAAACTAATGACACTGAAGTCCACAAACTCTTGAGCCACCTCCAAAACTCTGTTCAGAAAGGGCCGATTAGAGACAATTTTGGAGTTTATGACCTGTATGGCAACTTGGACCTGACTCAGCTAGTTACAGCCTAAATTCATCACACTGTACACCTGTTTTTGATCTTCAGGCAGCATTGATGTGACCTGGAATTGAAGGAAATTATGCTTTGGTCAGACCATTTTTGTTAGCTCTGGAGTTTTCTGTAACTACCCTTCACACAGGGAGGGAGGACATATTTAATTGGTTTAATCCACGTGCATGGTGTGCCCTGTTGGGTTACAAAGAATAGTTCTTGGGGCTCTAGTCCAGTGTTTTCCAAACTTGGCAACTTTGAAACTTGTGGACTTCAACACCCAGTGTTCCATAGTCAGCATGCTCTAAACCCTGGTTTAATCAAGAAATGTGTTGCCAATTGAAATGAAGGAGTGGGGTTGTATCTATCCATAAATTCTGAAGCACTTTTTTTTAGCAACATGATATGAAGCTATAGAACAGATAGTTTGAGCGCTACTGTAGGAAGGCAAAAAAATGCAGCTGATCATACATGGGTAGGAGCCTTTGTTAGGATTATGTGAAATGATAGGAACAGAAAAAATAGCATTTTTTCCAGTCTAGATAGCTATTCAGAGATTTTGTTTTGGGTAACCCAATCTCAGGAAAGGAAGGACTGAAGAAACATTCCCAAGGGTGCTCTGAAGAATATTTTAGGCATCTGTTTTAATTTATTAAACTTAGAATTGATTAATATATAATCTAGCATATTTATCTGGACAGACCTTAAACGTGTTTGTCAAGACCGCTGCTGTGAATATGGTCACCCATGTATTACTGTAATTCCATGTTGGACATACTTCATGTTCTTTGTAGAAAGCAATGTCATCTACCATGTATGACCCATGAAACATTCCTTCTCTGTTGCAGTGCTTACCCTATGGAACAACATATCTCCCAGTCTTCAGATGACCTTTTATAACCTGGTTTTCCCCCCAAGCATTGCGCCAGAGCTTAAGATGAGCCCATTTGGACAGAAAGGTCTTG